TTATGCCTTCTTGAGTGTAGGCTCCTATCAACTTACCATAAGTATAGGAATTGTACGGAATAACCCCTTGTGCATCCCTCAAGGTTTTCTTAACTCTTTTCGCAAATAAAGGAGGAAGACCATCTATAAATTTAGCTTTTCCAATGCTCAAGACCGTTTTTCGGTAGTTCCATAACCCGACTTAAATAAGTATCTTTATACCATCGGAATTCACCTAAATGTCTACATCTAAGACCATTTAGCAATGAACGAACAATTTCATATTGATTGGTAAAATCTACCATTAAAATGTTCGAGAATAGTCAAGACCAGAGTATAAACAACGTTTTCTCTATTTTTTACTAAGGCAAAACCTAAGTTATCAACACCATCATTCAGAACCTTAGCATTAAGTACAGTGACTTTCGCCTCAAGGCTCATATAATTATCCCACCAACCTCTAAGTTGACCAGTAAAACCTGCAATTATCATTTTGCAAATAGTTCTATCGGTTTTATTAACACTCTTACAAATAGTAGCATACATAAGCATTTATGAACAAGAATAGCTAATTGCCTATTAGTTAAACCGTCGAGATTCCATTCATATATCTCGCTTCCACTATAAGAAGTATTAGTTTGGTTCCAATCATGTAATAAGTTTGCATACTAGGTTGATGAGAATATTTAGTATTACCACTATTCTTCTTGGGATAACCACGAAGTTTATTAATTTCCAAATCAACTTGACTTTTTAAATCAAAAGTGGTTTCCATCTCATCTGCAAAATCTTCAGATAAATTAATAGGTTGAGCACCAAATTTAGAAAACTTTTTATCAAGAAGTTTTCCAAGATCATATAGGGATTTAAAAACAAAATCTTGAATTTTAGGAGGTCTCAGAATATGCACATCCGGCTGTTTTGACGTAGAAGCCTGTTCAGGAGATTTTAAATAACTTTTAATCTGAACAATTAAAGTCGTCAAATCATCTAACCTTTTATTAAGTATCATTAAGATTAAAATCCATTTCGGATGCAGAAGGAATATCCTTATCAGAAATATCAGATGATTTGTCATTTGTTTGAACAATATTTAATCGAGGATTAATTTTAATTTTATTTTTATCAGCAGATATGACAGAAGATAATGTATGCAAAGAAGCAACACGATTTCAAGCTGGACCATATATCGGCTCAATCGGAGAAATATGTTGTATAAAAAGCGATCTTCTATTAGAAAATGAATGTCTGTTATAAGGAACACTTTTTTCATCAAACTGAATACAAATCTTACCATCAGAATTTTGCGTAATAAGCGAATATTCTAAATTAGTGACAACATTAGTCATTTGTTCAGGAGGTATAACAGAATCTAAAGTCCAAATAGTAGGAAAATTAATTTCTTCCCATTTTTATAGGTCTTCTAGTAGTGACCTTAGACTTGGCGAAATTAGTTTCTACCAAAATAGTTTGATCAGATGTACCATATAATTTACATCTAGGATTCAAAGTAGCAAGCAATTTGAAAGAGATTCTATAAGATAAACAAATTAATTCAGATCCAGGTGCATAATTATAACCATGTGTTTTAACATTTAGAGTTAAAGAATTTAATATATTAAAATCAGTCAAAGATAACAACAAATTCGGCTGAGTATTAAAATAAACTGGACCATAGGCCACCATAGATTCGATCAAACCCATCAAAGATTGTCGAAAATTTAAATTTCTTGCATCTCGTAAAGCAGCCAAGAAAGACTCTCGTAACCCTTTAAGAGTTAAAGGCTTAAAAGGAATTTGAACCATGCCAATATTCAAAAACTTATATTGAGATTTATCTAAGTCAATATCGCGCTTATTTAATAAACGAATAGTCTGTTCGGATGAGTTTAACGCCAAAGATTGCTCAGTAGTTTTAATCAATTGTTTATGAGAGATTTTATCAAACCAACCATAATCATAAATGGTTTTAATATCAATTTTTGGAATAGTTCATTTGTTTAACAAATCAAGGTTTTGAGGTATATCTACCTCTTCCAATCGAGTACTTTTAGTACTAGTATCTCCTAAATCCATGATTAAGAGAATATATCTATGCCGAAATACTTCACATCAATCTCATATTTACCATTAAAGTTCCTAGGCTCTGATACCAACGAAACAGGATCTCAGAAGACGGGGGGTAATCCGCAAGGTCATCTTCAATCTAGCTTGTTAACATCTGAATTCAAGGAATAAATACAAATCGAAATACATACATATTTTTATATAGTTTGATGATTGTATGGAAGGATCTAATCCTTTTACCCAAGCAAGGGTCTGTCTAGATTCAAATATGTATTGTTAGTGAGCCCATGTGTCTAGCGGTTCTAACCAGGTATAAGGCACCCTTTTAACTCCTTATCGGGCTAAGACCACGGCTGGCTAGACGGAGTCACTAAGAAAAAGCCACTAACTTGTTGTATTGAATCTAACTGTACCACCATCTCGGAACCAAGTCAATAAATCATATATAAATTTATGCATATTTAAATAAAGTCTAGATATTTTATGGTAGATATAAAATCGAAGTTAGTTTATGGTTGAATTTCAACACTTCTCAGGATACAACACCAGCGAGAACGTTTATAACTTCTCCAAAATGATTATAAAACATATTATATCAATAGGAGATTGGGGTATATCCTCGATGAAAGAAAGGTAGATCAGCCTAAACAAAGTCCCTATTAGCTTCACTTATTGGGATTATATTAACGCATTCAGTAAAGTCCACTACTATAATAATGAGAGGCATAAACATACTTGGTTCATTAAGGTTTGCACAAAGATATTTGCTGACCCAATCCCTAATTGGTTCTTGAACTGGTGGTCATACCACGGTCCAACGGTAAAGATTTTGCATGATCCCTTTTTAAAATTATACAAGAACTGGGTTAAGGTTTCACCAGACTTTAATTATTTATACCACTCAGATCATATTTGTTATATGGAGAAAATTGAACAAATTTATTTCTTCATAAAATTCTTGATTCCATGGATCCATAAATGGACTCCAGAAGAAGGTTTTACTGAAGAACAAATTCCATGTTTATATCGGACTTATTATAATAATTTCTAGGATAATTTAATGAAGAAGGATCCTAAGACTAAAGCATTATATGGTCAAGAATTGTTGGACTCTATTTCTCAAAAAATCCAAGATTATGGTACTATACCTCACAAAGGAATAATTTCTGACAACTCCGTCAAGCATATTACCAGGAGAATTTCCATTCAAGATGGAAATAAAGAAGAAATGATAAAAGAATATTTGGAAGAAGTAAAAAAGAATCTACTTCTTAATATCACTCACTATGAAAAATCAGACACCTCGATGAGGAGTGAAACGAGTGATGATGTCACAGATGATGCTCAAGAGGCCCAACCTTGTGAATCAGAGAAAACCGTGTCAGAAGATATGTTGTCTAAAGCGGAAGATTTCCTTAGAGAATTTAAAAAGAAGCATAATATGTAAAGATAAGACACGGTTATTTTATCTTTAAGGCATCTATCAACAGTAAATATATTGTTATTCAACAGTAGATACATTGTTTAGGGGACAGATGGGACCCAATACTACTGTACAGAGATGCCCCTTGTTTTTTTTTTTCTATAAATAAGCTTGTCTTTCATTTCTTTAGGAGCAGGTTTTTAGAACCACTATCTCTCTTGTACTCTCTCTCTTTCAGTTTCTCTCCATTGTAAAATTGTTCTTAAGTTTTATTAAGTCAGCCGGATACTTGCCAGAGTATTAATAAATGTTGGTGTTTACTACAATGTACTTCCTTTCTTTATTTTCTATTTTAATTTCTTTCTTAATATTATCTCCAATCTAAGCCGTGACTGTGTCCGGCTAAAGAATTATATCTATGCCGAATAACTAACTTCGATTTTATATCTACCATAAAAGATCTAGACTTTATCTAAATATGCATAAATTTATATATGGTTTTTGGACTTGGTTCCGAGATGGTGGTACAGTCAGATTCAATACAACAAGTTAGTGGCTTTGTCTTAGTGACTTCGTCTAGCCAGCCATGGTCTTAGCCCGATAAGGAGTTAAAAGGGTGCCTTATACCCGGTTAGAACCGCTAGACACATGGGCTCACTAACAATACGTATTTGAATCTAGAAAGACCCTTGCTTGGGTAAAAGGATTAGATCCTTCCATATAGTTATCAAACTAGATTGAAGATGACCGTGCGGATTACCCCCTGTCTTCTGAGATCCTGTTTCGTTGGTATCAGGGCCTAGGAACTTTCATGGTAAATATGAGATTGATGTGAAGCATTTCGGCATAGATATATTCTCTTAATCATGGATTTAGGAGATACTAGTACTAAAAGTACTCGATTGGAAGAGGTAGATATACCTCAAAACCTTGATTTGTTAAACAAATGGACTATTCCAAAAATTGATATTAAAACAATTTATGATTATGATTGGTTTGATAAAATCTCTCATAAACAATTGATTAAAACTACTGAGCAATCTTTGGCATTAAACTCATCCGAACAAACTATTCGTTTATTAAATAAGCGCGATATTGACTTATATAAATCTCAATATAAGTTTTTGCATAATGGCATGGTTCAAATTGCTTTTAAGCCTTAAACTCTTAAAGGGTTACCAGAGACTTTCTTGGCTGCTTTACGAGATGCAAGAAATTTAAATTTTCGACAATCTTTGATGGGTTCGATCGAATCTACGGTGGCCTATGGTCCAGTTTATTTTAATACTCAGCCAAATTTGCAGTTATCTTTGACTGATTCTAATATATTAGATCCTTTAACTCTAAATGTTAAAACGCATGGTTATAATTATGCACCTGGATCTGAATTAATTTGTTTATCTTATAGAATCTATTTCAAATTGCTTGCTACTTTGAATCCTAGATGTAAATTATATGATACATCTGATCAAACTATTTTGGTAGAAAATAATTTCGCTAAGTCTAAGGTCACTACTAGAAGACCTATAAAATGGGAAGAAATTATTTTCCTACTACTTGGACTTTAGATTCTGTTATACCTCCTGAACAAATGACTGATGTTGTCACAAATTCAGAATATTCCCATATTACGCAAAATTCTAATGGTAAGATTTGTATTCAGTTTGATGGAAAAGGTGTTCCTTAAAACATACATTCATTTTCTAATAGAAGATTGCTTGCTATATAACATATTTCTCCGATTGAGCCGATATATGGTCCAGCTTGAAATCGTGCTGCTTCTTTGCATACATTATCTTCTGTCATATCTGCTGATAAAAATAAATTAAAATTAATCCTCGATTAAATATTGTTCAAACAAATGATAAATCAATCTGATATTTCTGATAAGGTTATTCCTTCTGCATCCGAAATGGATTTTAATCTTAATGATACTTAATGATGAATGAACATCAAATTGATTTTAGTCCAGGATCACTGGCAAGAAAATATATTCAAAATGAATTTGCAAGTGATAAATGGAGATAGTTTAAAACTTGGTTTTTGACACATACAGTACGGAAGATTTGCATAATATTTCTCAAGAATTTTATGAAACTTGTGCTTTACATAATCATATTATGTTTTTTGTACCCTGGTTTATAACCACTTATTTGCCTTTATTCATCGATGTTCTTGAACGATCCTATAAAGATGAATCAGGTAATATTATCAAAGCTATTTATCCTCTTCAGGAACCGTTTATACTACCTAATAATACAAGTATTACTTTCACTGATTTTCAAAAGTTTATTGAAAATGATGTGGCTACGGTAAGCATTAACGAGATTAATAATCTCATTTCTCAAAACAACTATTTAGGAATTTCTGTGAAAGTTTTAGGCGAACATATTAGTTCTCTTGATAAAAAGTTAGATGATTTGACGACTTTAATTGTTCAGATTAAAAGTGATTTAAAATCTTTTGAACAGGCTTCTACGTCAAAACAGCCGGATGTGCATATTCAAAGACCTCCTGAAATTCAAGATTTTGTTTTTAAACCCCTATATGATCTTGAAAAACTTCTTGATAAAAAGTTTTCGGAATTTGGTGCTCAACCTATTAATTTATCTGAAGATTTTGCAGATGAGATGGAAACCACTTTTGATTTTAAAAATCAAATTGATTTGGAAATTAATAAACTTCGTGGTTATCCCAAGAAGAATAGTGGCAATACTAAATATGCTCATCAACCTACTATGCAAACTTATTATTATCCCAGACCGACCCCTCAAGATGTTTTGATAGAGGAACGTGATTTGAACCAAACTAATACTTCTTATAGTGGAAGCGAGATATATGAATGGAATCTCGACGGTTTAACTGATAGGCAATTAACTATTATTGTTCATAGAATGCTTATGTATGTTATTATTTGTAAGAGTGTTAATAACACCGATAGAACTATTTGCAAAATGGTAATTGCAGGTTTCATTGGTCAACTTAGAGGTTGGTGGGATAATTATATGAGCCTTGAGGCGAAAGTCGCTGTACTTAATGCTAAGGCTGTTAATAGAGAAGACGTTGTTTATACTCTGGTCTTGACTATTCTCGAACATTTTAATGGTAGATTTACCAATCAATATGAAACTGTGCGTTCATTGCTAAATGGTCTTAGAAGTAGACATTTAGGTGAATTCCGATGGTATAAAGATACTTATTTAAGTCGGGTTATGGAACTACCGGAAAACGGTCTTGAGCATTGGAAAGCTAAATTTATAGATGGTCTTCCTCCTTTATTTGCGAAAAGAGTTAAGAAAACCTTGAGGGATGCACAAGGGGTTATTCCGTACAATTCCTATACTTATGGTAAGTTAATAGGAGCCTGCACTCAAGAAGGCATAAACATGTGCAACGAATTGAAGCTATCTAGGCAGCTTAAGATTGATAAGCTTAGAGAAAGATCTCAATTAGGAGATTTCTACACCCAGTTTGGTTTACCAGATTCAGGTAAGCAGACCAAACCTAGAGATTCTAGAGACTCTAATCCCTATAAACCTTATAGAAGGAAAAGGTCTAGGCGAAGATCTAGGGAAGAACGGGAAGAGCGAAGAGCTCATCGTAAATCTAATCGATTTACAAAGAATACGTCTAGGCGAGATCTTGCAAAGATTAAGTGCTACAAGTGTGGAAAATTTGGGCATATAGCACCAAATTATAGGCTTCAAAAGCTTAAAACTCTAGAGTTAGAGGAAGATATGCATGATAAGATCTATAGTTTCTTGTACACCTCTGGTTCTGAGTCCAATTATGATGATGACGATTATTCTGAATCAGGTTCTGAAACTGATAAACCTGAAACATCTGGCAATACTCAGTCAGTGACCATAGATGCTTGTAAATGTAGAGGTGATATTTGCTCTTGTGAAAATGATGAATTTTATAAATTACAATCTCAATTTGAAGTTATGAATATTAAAACTATTACTTCCGATAATGTGATAGAACTTACTGATAACACGTTGCGTGAAAAGATTATTCAGCTTGCTGCTAATAATATGGCTAGCTCATCTAATGTTGTTGAAAAATAAAAATATGAGTTTGAATATTCTGCTCCTTATTCTTTATCTGAAGTCAATAATAGACTTTATAAACAACATGTTGATATTCGTGATACTTCTTTTTTGATGACTTAAAAGGAGAAATTGAACTGTTGAAGCAAGAGATTAAATGTCTTAAACAAAATCAGATTAGTTGTGATCACCGCCTTACTCAGATTGAGTCTGCTAATAACAAAGGAAAAAATATTGTTGAAGAAAATACTCTTGCAAAATCTATTAATATTGATCCTAGACAAAATATGTTTTTAGGAATGATGCAAATCGTTACAGCTCATAAATGGTATGTTAAATGTACCATATTGATTGATAATACTTTTTCTATAACTGATATTGCTATGATAGATAGTGGAGCTGATGTTAGTTGTATTCAAGAAGGTCTTGTGCCTACAAAGTATTTTGAGAAAACAACTCATATGGTCAGATCAACTTCAGAGCATGCTTTAGATATAAAGTATAAATTGCTTAATACCCGTATTTGCCAAAATAAAGTTTGCATTCCACATTTCTTTTTCTTTGTAAAGAATCAGTTATATCCTCCTATTATACTTGGAACCCCTTTTATAAATGCAATATATCCTTTCACCATTATAAATGCTAAAGGATTTTCTGCTACTTATAAAAATCAAGATATTAGTTATACTTTTATCACTGATCCTATTTCTCGTGATATTAATGCTTTAATTAATATGAAACAAAAGCATGTGGATTCTTTACAACTTGAATTATTTATCATGAATATATTTGATACTTTGAGATCAACCAAAGTACAAGAAAAGATTAAACTAATATCTGAACAGATAGCCATTGATATTTGTGCTGAATATCCTAGTGCTTTTTGGAATCGAAAAAAGCATATTGGGACTCTTCCATATGAAGATAATTTCTCTGAGGATGATATTCTTACAAAATCTCGCCCTTTCCAGATGAACACCGCGTTGGTTGAATTCTGCAAAAAAGAAATTGATAATCTATAACAGAAAGGTTTAATAAGACCTTCTAAATCTCTGTGGTCTTGTACTATATTTTATGTTAATAATGCAGATGAAAAAGAACGTCGTGTTCCCTGGATGGACCCTCATTGGTTACTAAGGGTAGAGGCAAGGGACATATCCCACGAGGAAGGGGAATATCATTCCCCGGATCATCGTCATGATCTTCATATGGGTCCTCATCGAACTCCCCAATTTTACAGCGAGGAGGCATGAGTTTGATAAACTCTAAAGTATCTCAGAAGGCGACATCATCGTCTGTACATCTGGAAGATATCCCAGAAGGTAGTCCATTATATGCAGAACTACAGGCATATTTGTCACAGAAGCAAAGTGATACTTTTGCCTCTATTGCTAAAGACAATATTGATGATATCAGATCGTATGAAAGAGTAGCAAAGAAAGAAATGATATTTCTTCTCGAAAACTCTGAGATTCAGAGGAAAGAAGAACCCTGGAAGATATTCCAGTGATATTTACTTAACGGAATATACTTCCTGATCGAGTCATACAAAACCCGCTCATATTATGAGACCATCTTGATGAACACGGGTAGTGTTGAATTTCAGCACTTCTCAGGATACAACACCAGCGAGAACGTTTATAACTTCTCCAAAATGATTATAAAATAGATTATATCAATAGAAGATTGGGGTATATCCTCGATGAAAGAAAGGCAGATCAGCCTGAACAAAGTCCCTACTAGCTTCACTTATTGGGATTATATTAACGCATTCAGTAAAGTCCACTACTATAATAATGAGAGGCATAAACATACTTGGTTCATTAAGGTTTGTGCAAAGATATTTGTTGACCCAATCCCTAATTGGTTCTTGAACTGGTGGTCATACCACGGTCCAACGGTAAAGATTTTGCATGATCCCTTTTTAAAATTATTCAAGACCTGGGTTAAGGTTTCACCAAAGCTTAATGATTTATACCACTCAGATCATATTTTTTATATAGAACAAATTGAACAAATTTATTTCTTCATAGAATTCTCGATTCCATGGATCCATAAATGGACTCCAGAAGTAGGTTTTATCGAAGAACAAATTCCGTGTTTATATCAGACTTATTATAATAATTTCTAGGATAAATTAATGAAGAAGGATCCCAAGACTAAATCATTATATGGTCAAGAATTATTGGACTCTATTTCTCAAAAAAAATCCAAGATTATAGTACTATACCTCACAAAGGAATAGTTGCTGACAACTCCGTCAAGCATATTACCAGGAGAATTTCCATTCAAGATGGAAGTAAAGAAGAAATGATAAAAGAATATTTGGAAGAAGTCAGAAAAAATCTACTTCTTAATATCACTCACTATGAAAAATCAGACACCTCGATGAGGAGTGAAACGAGTGATGATGTCGCAGATGATGCTCAAGAGGCCCAGCATTGTGAATCGGAGAAAATCGTGTCAGAAGATATGTTGTTGAAAGCGGAAGATTTCCTTAGAGAATTGAAAAAGGAAGGATAAGATGTAAAGATAAGACACAATTATTTTATCTTTATGGCATCTATCAACAGTAAATATATTGTTATTCAACAGTAGATACACTATTTAGGGGACAGATGGGACCTTGTACTACTATACAGAGATGCCCCTTGTTTTTTTTTTCTATAAATAAGTTTTTCTTTCATTTCTTTAGGAGCAGGTTTTTAGAACCACTCTCTCTCTTGTACTCTCTCTTTCAGTTTCTCTCCATTGTAAAAATTGTTCTTAAGTTTTATTATGTTAGTCGGATACTTGTCGGAGTATTAATAAACGTTGGTGTTTACTACAAGGTACTTGCTTTCTCTATTTTCTGTTTTAATTTCTTTCTTAATATTATCTCCAATCTAAGTTGTGACTATGTCCGACTAAAGAATTATATCTATGCCAGATAACTAACTTCGATTATATGGCTACCATAAAATATCTAGACTTTATCTAAATATGCATAAATTTATATATGGTTTCTTGACTTGGTTCCGAGATGGTGGTACAGTCAGATTCAATACAACAAGTTAGTGGCTTTGTCTTAGTGACTCCGTCTAGCCAGCCGTGGTCTTAGCCCAATAAGGAGTTAAAAGGGTGCCTTATACCCGGTTAGAACCGCTAGACACATGGGCTCACTAACAATACGCATTTGAATCTAGAAAGACCGTTGCTTGGGTAAAAGGATTAGATCCTTCCATACAATCATCAAACTATATAAAAATTTGTATGTATTTCGATTTGGATTTATTCCTTGAATTCAGATGTTAACAAGCTAGATTGAAGATGACCGTGTGGATTACCACCCATCTTCTGAGATCCTGTTTTGTTGGTATGGAACTACCGGAAAACGGTCTTGAGCATTGGAAAGCTAAATTTATAGATGGTCTTCCTCCTTTATTTATGGAAAGAGTTAAGAAAACCTTGAGGGATGCATAAACAAGGGGTTATTCCGTACAATTCCTATACTTAAGGTAAGTTGATAGGAGCTTGCACTCAAGAAGGCATAAACCTGTGCAACGAATTGAAGCTATCTAGGCAGCTTAAGATTGATAAGCTTAGTGAAAGATCTCATTATTCTTATTATTATTATTATTATTATTATTATTAAATTGATAATTTATTACAAAAAAGTTTGATAAAACCTTCTAAATCTCCGTGGTCTTATACTGCATTTTATGTCAATAATGCAGTTGAAAAGGAATGTGGTGTTCCCAAGTTAGTTATAAATTATGCACTTGATCTTAGCAAGTTCTCCTCTAGACCGTTTCTTTGTAAATCTATTGGATTTACGATGATCTCTTCGCTCTTCCCGTTTGATATTCCTACAAAATCTCGCCCTTGCCAGATGAACGCCGAGTTGGTTGAATTCTGCAAAAAAGAACCATTTTGTATAACTATTTTCTTGAAAATGTTCAGATGTTTAATATGCATTTCAAGAGTCGTAGAGTAAACCAAAATATCATCAATATAAACAATGATGAAGTCCAAATATGGGTTGAAAATATCATTCATGATTTTCTGAAATTCAGAAGGAGCATTTTTCAAATCAAATGGCATAACATTCCATTCGTATTGTCCAAACGGGACATTAAATTTTAGTATCACCACTATTATTTTTAGGAAAACCACGAAGTTTATTAACTTCTAATGCAATATGCTCTTTAAAATCAAAGGCTTGTTCCAGCTCATCGCCAAAAGTTTCAGATAAATCAATTGGTTTAGCACTAAATTCAGCAAACCTTTTATCAAGAAGCTCTTCTAGATCAAAAGGGTCACGACAGAGAGAATAACTCTCGAGGAAAGGGCAGATCTTCCCCAAGTTCCTCTTCAGGATCTACATACGGATCCTCGTCAAACTCCCCGATACTACAGCGCGGAGGCATGAGTTTGATAAACCTGCACTCGAAAGGAGTGCAAAAGGCGACATCATCGTCAGTACATTTGAAAACTCATGGTTATAATTATGCAAACCTCGAAGTTGGCCAGTGAAACCTGCAATAATCATTTTGCAAATATTCCTTATCGGGCGGAGACCATGGCTGGCTAGATAGAGTCACTAAGTCAAAGAAATCCCTATTCAGCGTGATATTAATTTTGCTTCAAGGTTTCACCATTATTATAGTAAAGGACCAAATAGAGGGGGCAGACTATCTATAAACTTGGCTTTCCAATGTTCCATACCACTTTCTGGTAGTTCCATCCACAACACACTTTATTCACAACTCTGGTAATCCGGCAAATTCACCAATTACAAGAAAGATCTTACAAGAGAGAAAAACGAGAGAGGGTTTCAACCATTAATCAGGTAACACTGAAATATCTTCCAGGGTTCGTCTTTCCTCTGAATTTCAGAATTTTCCAAAAGAAATATTATTTCTTTTTTAATTACCTTTTCATACGATTTGATATCATCAACATCGTCTTTGGAAATAGAGGCAGTCTTAGAGTAAACCCAAATATCATCAATATAAAAAATGATGAAGTCCAAATAT